CAGTATAATATTTTAAATTTATTTTCTAATAGCTCGTTTTTCTAATCATAAAAATTATGATCAGAAATATTTTTCTACAAGAATACATGAATTAAATTAATGTAAATACATTTTATTGAAGCATTTATTTTATAAAATACACTGATTAATAAATTACAATACCAGAAGAATAAACTTTTGGTAANAAATAAAATAAATCAATATTTAAAGAAAAATTTGAAGTATAATATTTTCCTTAAAATATTTTTATTATAAAAAATATATTAAAATTTTCCTCAAAATAAAAATTACTTTCAAAGGAATTCCTTATTTAGCTTCATCGTATAAATAAAAATGTTTACATTAGACATTAACTTTCTTACGTAACTCAGCATGTGATATTCTATAAACATCTTATGATAAGAATTTTATATCATTATTGTATTTTATGCTTAGATAAAAAGAATATTAACTTTCTACGTTCTGTCTCAAAATTTGAATATTATAAATTATTTAAGATATTATTTACAGTAAATATAATTACAAAAATAACTTAATCTTAATTTATAAGAAAAAATTTATGATAATAGTTTCATTTAAATTTCGTATACTGTAATGATTTTAACAATTTCTCGACAGTATATTTAAATCAAAGAATTTAAGACATTTTACCTTGTTTTTATATTCAATTCAACTCTATATATACATAATTTACTTAATCATTTTTATGTTCAGAAAATAAAATATTTGCTTGTTTCAAAACAATAGTTTTTATACAAAAAAATAATTTTTTAATTTTATTTATGCAGATTTCAAGTGATAAAACTTTGGATTTGCTACTTTGTCTGTTATCTTAGCTTGAGAGGAAAGTAAAAATGGAGTCCAGTGTAGTCATAAATACAAAAATAATTGAGGGAAAAAGTGTATCATGTTGTCTACATAAGAAAATAAATTTTGTGGCCCTTCCGAAACCTGGATCAACCGATTCTTCTAGCCCTCGTATTGTTTCTTAAATAGTTTATGATAAATTGTTAATTCACACGAGACATAAGCTTAAATTATGTTAAAACATTACTTGCTGAAATATTGCGCAATTTTGGAAAACAGAATACCATTGCTAACATAATTCTTTTAGAATAATCAAATAATTCTAAATTATTCTTATATTATACAAAAATATAAAATAGGCTTAATTTATTCACAAATAAACTTACAATATGCATAAACGAGCTAATATTTCTCGAAGATATGCTTACATTATTGTCAACATTATTATTTACGACCACCTTTTCTATAAACTAAACTCGAAACTATTTTTCTGTTAATAACATTCATATTTTTATTCCCATTGCAAATTTCTTATAGTTGCTATATATTACATTGGTATTTTATTTGTTTCATACAAACATTAAAACATTTTTACGATGAAAAATAATAAAATTATCAGACTCTATACGCTTTTATTTTCACAAAATTCTCATTGTTGATTTATTAATTTATAAATTTAACAACTTTAGAAATATTATATAAAAAGATTAAATTAAATTAAATTTTATTTTTTTTTATTAAAAATTGCCGTTTTTCATTCATTATTTTGATAATATTTTTTGGGATGTAAACATTCATAATATGAAATTACTTTAAAATTTTGCATAAAATTAATTTACTTTGAATAAAATCTTTTTTTTAATTAAATATTAAAAAATAAAATTTAATTTATTTTTTCCTGTTTGTATATCATCAGAAATAGAATTTATTACATAATTTATTTTATATCAACAAATACATAAATTATTCTCGTTTTAGAAAGTTGTTTCATGAATCATTTGAAATATTTACTCGTTTTGTATATTATTAAAAATTTTTGCTACTCCTCACCAAGTCTAATGTACTATCATTGCTTAAGAGAAACAATATATTATTTATTCAATTTAGTTGCATCCATTTATTTTTGTTAAATCGTATAGAAGTTCTCCAAATAATAGGACATAAATAACAGTTTTTGACCCTATACAAAGATATAAATGACAAGAATTTCACTGTTTTACTTAATATTATTTTTCATTCGAAAAACGACCTATACTAAGTAATTTGAGGAAACCATAAAGAAATACAACACCAAAGAATTTTTTTCGTAATAAGTAGCTTGAGATTTGTTTATTTTATTAAACATATTTTTCTTATAGTCTTAATAATTTTCTTAAATATAAGATTTAGTTGTTAAATTCTATTTTAATTGAATAAAATATTTACTAATCGCTAATATTATTACATATCACTGTATAAAATTAGTGATTTATATAAATATTTTACACACATTATTTTTAGCGTATATAGGTCTAATTTTACATGTAATCTTGAAATTTATTTTTAAAAGAAATTAGTTTTCATTGTAATAAATTCCTAGTAATAAATTCCTAATTTTTCTTTATTCAAACTAATCTAACTTCTTTATTTTTTGAAACGATAAATGTTATTTTTTTTTATTAATTAGTCTTCAATATATTTTAATTTTTATCAACATTTTTATATATTATGTATTTCATACATAAAATCACAAAATAACTTTTTTATAATTTATTTAAAAAACTATTTAAACATTTAATTAGAAATGGATAATTAACAAAAATTTCGTTTATCAGCTAAGAAATTACAAAATAATAACATTTTTTCTAATATCAACTATTTCCATGTTGCTATCTAAATTGCTTTCCTTTATCTTTTTTTCTTGAAAATTTTTTAACTCCAATCTTTCAATTATTAAAGTTTTATTAAAAGCCAAATTCTTCTTAATCTAAGTAAATTAATCCATTTTAATACAAAGTTTTGTTTTGTTTGTTAACAAAAAAATCTGAAATAATGAATGTTTTAATTTAATGAAACTTTAATCAAATTAAGAAACAACTTTTTAATATTTGATAAATATAAACATAATCAGAATTTTTTAAACAAAACTTTAAACAATTATAAAATGCAATATTTTATTTTCTGTATGATTTTGAAACAGATTAGTTAAAAGAGAAATTTTTCATGCTTTTATCTTCACACTTCCATTGAAAATGAAATTACTGTTTATATTTCTTCTTTTTCCTCAATTAGAATTTTATTCGGTAAAAAATAAATTACACAAAATTTTCTAAAAGGCCCTTCATACCTCCCAATTATCCCTCTTGTATTTTTTCTTTTTTTCTTTAAAGATGATGTAAAGTAGATAAATGGGAGATATAAGAGGCTTTTTCGAAATTTTCTGAAATTGCTTTCTCACTGGATAGAAATTTAATTTCTTTATATCCCCTTTGTGTCATTCCTGGACAGGATGCAAAGGAGATGAATCCTCCCCACAATTTAAGTACCACAGATTCAACAATTTCAGATACTTAAACATTATAAATATTCTTTACATTTTAGCTTATAAGAAGTGAAACAAATGAAAATAATTAAACACATAATTTTATTAAATTAAATTGCCATTAAAACCACAATTGAAATGATTATTATTATTATTATTATTACTATTAATTACACCTTTGTAAGAATTGAAAAGTATATAATTAGAGCTATCGTTTAAATGATTTATGACTTCGAAAATTTTTCATTTTTGTTTAAAATTTAGAAATCTATCGTTTTGTTTTCTCTCGTTTTTTTATTTTTAACTTTTCAACTTTACTGGAAAAGAAAAGTATATGTTATCATGTCGAAAATCGATTTGGATTTCAATAACAATTCACAATTTGAATACTGGAGAACAAGAATCAATGCTTTTGGAAAATGTCAGCTCTTCCATTTGTAAAACCTGTGATTGCTCTAATATATATGTATATTTATTTATTTATATGTATATTTATTTATTTATTTATTTTAAAAAATTTACGAAAGTATTAGTTTTTCGTAAAAAATTAGAAATTGCTAATTACAAAAGTGAATTGACGTAAATAATACATTAAATTTGAACTTTCGGGTAATTACGCTTTCGAGTAATCACTGTTTAATTATAATAATACTCTGAATTAATAAAGTAATAGCGTTAAAATAATATTAAATGTTTAATTTTTAAATTCTGCAAAAGAAAGAATCTGGAAAAGAAGAGTATCTCTTGATCCAATTATTAGATGAAAGACTAAAATCTTGTTTTTATACATAATTCAAAAAACACGAATGTATACAAACTACTTTTGTTGAGAGATAATAACACAAGATTATTTCTTGAATATTTTAGCCTTATCAAGAAAATTTTTCATGTATTATTGAAGAATGCACTTTATTCAATTATACACTTCTTTGAAGTATAAATTACTTATGTAACATTATATACTTAAAATTTTATAGGCCTATGTAACTTTATATACTGTTTTAAGTTTGTAATATTTAAAGTATCCTGAATATGATGAATGTTTATCTAATTTATTCTTTTGATGTTTCAATTTGTAATTTTCAAATTTGTCAAATCATACGTTTTTTGTAATTAAAATTTTATTTTTATTATTCAATTCAGTTTTAATGTCGCATTATCATATAACTAGCTCCTCATTAAGAGTTTTAGCATTTATATCCCTCTATAGATTATAGGCAGTGCGATATTTCTCTATTTTAGTAATAAATTGGGTAAACTCGCTCTGTTTTCTTGTTTCAAAAATGACATCCTGGTCACATGATATTCGAAAAAATAATACATTAACAAATTATTAAGTTACATAATGAAAACACTGTCTTTCCTTACATCATGCATTATATAAAATTTAACAAATATCCGTAACTGTTTCCCAAAATTTTGATCTTAAATACTTATTAGAAATTAAAAACCATAACATTTTCGTAATACTAAATAACGTTAATTTATAAATTTGAATAACAAACATTTATAAAATTGAAAATATTTGAAAAAAATGGAATCTAAATAGACTCAAATTATTCAAGTTTATATTTTAAACTTAAATGTAAAACCGATATAATATGTTTTAATCTGGTTTAAATTATTGTGTTTAGTTTCACGGATGTTTCAAGTTACTAAAATACGCACATATAAAGTAGAAATTTGACGGATGCTTCAAAATATCTGTTCTATCGTCGAACCATGATGGCTAAGTTGATACTCTTGGTCCTCTTTATTTCCTTATATGCAGCTTTCGCCGAAGCGAGAGGTACATATTTTACAACCTTACACTACCTAACTGAAATACAGGTCTTGTTAACGAATTACTTTACTTATTTCAGTATGCAATCCGTCTGCTGGAGCGTCTAGTCTCTCAGGGGTAAGTATACTATATTGTCTAAAATATTATTATTATTTAGTCGGACGTATTCGGAAAGAAGCAGGGGACATATTAGATTTAGCTAAAAATATTTCATGCAAACTTATTTTCAATGCCTCTTACGATGATACATGAACTGAATTTCAACTTTCATTACAGTGGCTGGAATGGAGTGAAATTCAGTTTATATTATTTTTAATTTAACTAATTTTTCAGAAATTCTCTAGAAGAACTCTCTTTAAGAACAGTATTTGTAAGGTTTTTGTATTTTATTACATTAGGGGGCTCAAAAACGGTAAGATAGGTTGCCCCTAGTGAATATCAGACACATATATGATACAATGAATATCTGTTTTTTTCTTAACTTTCTTTGTCCCGAAGCACCAAAAACGTCCCGCGGGCCCTTTTTAACAAGCCTATTTATTCGTCCGACCAACTGGCGAGGAATAGGGACCCCAACGTATCCGGACCATCACCCGAAAAAGTTCCTGAGGTTTTTTTAGATTCCTCGGGATTCGATTCAGAGCTTCCCAGAGCGGTAGCCTGCCATCTTAATTGCTCGGCCATCCGGCTAAAAATTTCAAATAGTAGTTATTTTAATGATGAAAATAATATAAACTAGTTTAATTTAACTATAGGATTAATGGAATATTTATACAATTAATTATGCATTTAAAATTGTTTCTTTAGGTCGATATGATGCTTAGCGTCGTTCTGGTCGTTGTAAGTATTCACAGCTATATATTAAGACTGAATATTTTTTATTGTATTCAAGTTTTAAAATTAGTTTCAAATTGTACAAAAATGATTTAAATTAATTTAAATATTTTTATCCACAGGCATTCAGTTGTCTTCACAAATACCTGATTTTTAAATGATGTGGAACTGAAACTAAAGATTTATTCTAAACAGAAATATAAAATTTCAATTTTGTAATCTAATCGGTTGATAATTTTTTATTATTATAAAAAAATGGACAAGGATTATATACAGTAGATAGCTGTTGTAATAAATAATCTATTAGAAAAATCTTCAATATTGTTACCTCAGGTATAAAAGAGTTTGTTTATTTTGACGAATCAAAATATGTAAATGTAAAATTACGAATAAAGCATATTAAATTATGAGAAGAATTTGTTTTAATTTTAATACTAAAATTTATCGCCTATATTTTTTACTATACGAAATTTTATAAATCGTTGGGTAAGTGATGCGATTTTTACTTTTACAGTAAGGATTCAGATTGGATTCTGAACTTTTTTTGAAGAACATTATAGTATGTAATTACCAATAATCCGCATTTAATCGCCTCTGTGAGACATAGGAAATCAGGTGGTCATAAATCCCGAGAATTTTTCGAGGATGGTGTGTCCGGATACATTGGGCCCTCATCAAGCAACCATCTCATTGCCAGCCTGGACGAAGATGGGTTTGGAACAAGGTCCTATTAGTGTCCACAGAGCAATGTCCATAAAGAAAAAAAACCATATTGATACTTAATGTGGATTTATTTAGCACTAGTAGATGAGCCCGGCGTTGCTCGGGCAAAAAATAACAACAAACATTAAGATTATTAGATTATTTCGTACTTTTTAACAATTCTATTATATTATATTCTACTATTTGATTTATATAACTACAAACGTTATCTTACGTAAGGGTTTAAAACACCAAGTGCCTAATGTCATGCATTTTAAAAATTCTTTAAATTGTGTACCGTAGANAGCCCGGCGTTGCGCTCGGGCAAAAAATAACAACAAACATTAAGATTATTATTATTTCGTACTTTTTAACAATTCTATTATATTATATTCTACTATTTGATTTATATAACTACAAACGTTATCTTACGTAAGGGTTTAAAACACCAAGTGCCTAATGTCATGCATTTTAAAAATTCTTTAAATTGTGTACCGTAGAAGAAGAAAGAACGTGTTAGATTGATCAAAATGTGATAATCCCTATCATAAGATAACCTTCGTAGTTATAAAAAATCAAATACTATAATATAATAAATATTAAAACGAAAATCATATAAAGAGTTTGGATTTTTAGCTTATCATTGTCACGTTTGTCAGGATACTCGAAAAAGACAAGACCAGAAGTAGAAAGCGTATGGACAGGAGGCCCAGATTAACTATACAGAAATCTGACGTTTGAAATGGATGTCACGTTACATCGATTCAAATTTTCCCTTGAACGAAGATAGGTAACAATAGAGTTGTGCCGGTAAGCTAACAGGAAAAGAATGCTTTACAGGGACAAAACTACAAATAAAAATTGAGAACATGCCAGCCTGCAACTTTTCATTGAAATGAAAACTTGCAGGCTGGCATTGTGAGAACGTCATAATAAATAATCGCTCCTTAAAATTAGTTTAGTTTATTTGTTTACTGCAACTTGATACGTGAGTGATCAGTTGGGTGGGATGCATCCCAGGAAAACTTTTATGGGCAGCTGGACTATATTTAGGTGAAGAAAACCCGGAAACAACTTTGTGGTTTTATGCACTCAGTAATTGGAAGACACTTATTAGAATTAAGAAAATGCCATTTAAAAATGAAATAACCCGAGTTGTTACACGTGAAAAATTAAATACTATAGACTTATCACAGGGTAACATTCCACGCAGGCAAGTGCTGTGCTGCCTGTCTTAGTAACGATATAGCGCGTCTATTTTGCGCTATATCGTTGTCGCAGTAATTAAGTGAAATATATATCATATTTTAAAATTATATTTTTTTTTATGAGAATTATATTTAGCTTATTATTTTGTTAATTTTTGCCAATAGATGGCGCTACGTGTAAATCGGCAAATTTAATTTAGATAGAAATTTATTTATTTACAGAAAATTAATAGATATTTTGGGATGAGATGTACGGCATTATCTAAGTTAGGTATATGTAAAAGTAACCGCTGAGATTTGTAGCAATTGGTTGAACGGCCTTGGAGTGTATAGCGAACGAACAAACATTATCATATATATATATATAACTGCTTATTAAACAACTTTTATAGCAAGGGTATCAAATACATAGAATGTGTTAAGTTTTGAGTTTGCGTTATAATGTGATTTTTAATGAGTCTTTCTCGGTTTCTACACTAAACAGATAATAAATAATTACCTAAATGTAATCAAATTGTAACAACCAAACCGTTATGTTTAAGTAATTTTTCTCGGCATGATCTAAATCTGAAGCTCCCAAATGATAAATCATATCGTTAAATATTTATATAAGCTTATGATTTCGTTAAAAAGGTCATGTTAAATTATCTTTCAATAGCACTAGCAATGTATATTATATAATATACATTGTTAGTGAAAGACAATTTAAAATTATTTATGTTTATTATTTAATTAAATATTGTAATTTTAAATTTTTGTAATATTTTACATTGGTTTTTATAATAAAACTTTAATTAAACTTTATTAACAAAAAGTTCTCTCTTTGTAACAGAATATAATTATTTGTTAATAACAATGTCAACAAAAGAAGTTGATGGTTTGAAAGAATAAAACATATTAAAAACTGGGATGAACGTGAGTCTTTAATCTTTTAATAAAATAATTAGGATGGATAAAAAAATAACAACATAACTTTTCATTAAAAAATGTCTGAAAATTTTAATACACTTCATCTATTTTAATGACAAGTTAAATGAAAGCGAGTGAAATTATCCGAATAATATATTAGAAGTAATTTATCATCTTGTAACCTTTCTTATATAAAATTGTCATACAACTCTTATAGGTATGACAAGAATTGAATCTGCCATGACCATATGACAAATATTTCCTATACAGTACGAGTCTCGAAAGTTTACCAGTCGAAATTGTTATCTTATTTCTGTGAAAGATCCGAAATAAACGTTACCAGAATAATCGTCATTTTTAATGTTATGATAATGTTTGTTCTACTTCGCTTATCACTGTTACACAATAAAGGTAATAATTAAAAATTGAAAAATTTTAATGTCTATTCTTTTGAGTCCGTTAGAATCTTTAATATAATTTTCATTTTAGATTAAGAAATCTAATAATCAATACATGAATGTAATTAATGATGCACTAATTAATACATGAAAACATGAATGTTTTTACGTATTAATTAGTGCATCAATATTGTAATAAGTTCACATATCAAACTAATTGTTTGCAAGTAATATATGAAATTAAACCGATTTCATCAAAAAAAACACTAAGCTTGCATAATTTCCATTATTTAAATTCATTTATAACTAAACTTTCATTAAAGTTCGATTACTCGCTTTCTCGTTTATCTGCCAATGCAATTGAATATTTCATTTTATAATACATTCTAAAGGCCAATATATAAGCTATTAATATTAATTTATGATAGAACATACTTTAACGAATTACTGTATTCCATGATAAAGTTATATAACTTATTTATAATGGACATATATTAATAATATTATTAATATTATTATATTAATTAATTTGTGTTTTATTACTCGAGTAATATTAGATTTTCGATTGAATGTGTAATTCCTAATTACCTGATATCAGTTAGTTAATTAAATGGAAATTTTCGTTATTGTAGCTATTTAAATTTCAAAAAACAAATTATCTGAGATATAATAATAGAGTAAATTCATACAAAAATATATCTTTATAAACAATTAATTAAAAAAAATTATTTAAAAATATCATCATCGTGATCAACTTTCTAAATTAATTGTTCCAAATTTCTAATATATAGAAAATGCAGATTATGGAAAATAAACATAATTTTCGGATATAAAAAAACAAAAGATAATTTTTTAACGAATTCTAAAAATTTTACTTGTTAAAAATTACATAAGTTATCATTAACTGAACTTTCATTAACTAACGAGTGCCTAAGATTTTGCAACATGGATGTTTCTTAAATTGCTATGTCAAGCATGCATAGGTCAATTGCATATTACTTATGTTTTGGTGTAACTTGTTTCTAGTTGAATCATCATGCAAAATTTTATTACAAATTCCAAAAAGTTTCGAAATAAACAGTGTGAGAGACGCGTTCTTGGCAATCAGAATTAGCCATTACTACAAAGATGTAGCTAACTTCAATAAGTTAAAAGACCTATCGTTACTTTGAAAATTATGTACTATTTTATTCTTAGGTATGAAGAACGGGAAGAAGCCGAGTAAATGAAGATGTCGTCCATTGTCTGAAAAATGCCAAAGAAGTATATCAATCATCTTTCAAGTGTTTAAGTACAATCCAAATTTGTCAGAACATTATCATGCTGCTAATGTAATTGGAAGTCCACACCAAGCATTATATTGATTAATTAAAGGTAAACAAGTTATGAATAAAATATGCAATTAGAAGCCCTGTATTTTATTACAACGAAGACCAGTAACAACGTGTAACAACAAATTGTTACAAAATTGAAAAATGACCAACGTTATGTTCTGGTAAACCTTCATGCTGGATGACGAAAATTTTGTGCCTACTGCTCAAGTGACATACCTGGCAAGATGTGTAATCGTTACACTAATAAAACTAATATACAGATGAGAGTAAAATCAAAGAGAAGAAAAAATTTTAACTTCGTGTGGCAAGCCGTTGATGAAACAGGGGCTGTGCTATAATCCTAGATATTCACTTGCAATATGAACTCTGACACTTACTTAATGTATTGCATTAACAAGAGACTCATCCCTTTCATTTACAGCCAATAGGTTTTATTCGGGTATGGTATAATGACAACAATATATATATTACAATCACTGACTACCTAAGAATTCAAAATGTTAATTTTATAGAAAAGCAGATAAATGTCACTAATGAACCACAAGCACAACTTGCCAAAAAGTTTTGGGCACACTGCAAGACAGCACTCTTTAGACAATCAAAACTTGCTATAACGTCAATTCTTTCAAAAGAATGTGGAATACAATTGCCAGGAAATATGATGAAAACCATGGATAAGTAATTGTAGGAAGCCTGAGAAACATCCTTAGATAGATTGGACAGGAAAACGTTTATGTGACACTAGGTGTATACAGTTAAATATGAAAAAGGGCAACGAAACAAATTTCACTTTTCTCAAATTCGAATATTAATCAGATCCTGAATAATCGAATAACTCTAATTTCCCAAATACTTATATAAG